CCACTACATGTATTTAATACCTCTAGTAACTTCACCGATGTGGATGAATGATGTGAAATCTAATCAAGTGTTGAATCAGACTTTAGTTCCACCTGGAGTAAATTCACAAGCTACCCTGCAGTATACAAAGTACTTCAAACTAGCTGCACCTTCACCAGCTTTGAGAACACTTTCATGATCAATCTTTATAAAACATATCATATATATTATTCTGAAATGGGTACTTTTACTTTTGGTAATTGAAGTATATTTTGATGCTTATACTTATGTACTTTTACTTGAGTAACATTTTAATTTCAGGACCTTTACTTGTAACAGAGTATTTCTACACTCTGCTATGTTCTACTTTTACACTTTTTAACGTCGGAGCTTATCGATCCCACAGTCTTTAAAAATGTAGCCCTGGTTTAATAGGATTTCGGTACCCATCCCCAGATCGAACCTCCTTATTTTGTGTTCAAAAAGCACCAGATTGATGCATATCACTTCAAAATGTGTCACGTTTTCTTACAGGAAAAAAATGCTCCTAGTCCTCCATTAAGGGTCTGAGGTCCTCCCACCATAGTGTCACAAAATCCTGTGGAAAGCCCTGATGTCGGTGTAGTGTGTTACCCAGTTATGAGAGAACACTGTGGGCGTGGCTCCACTGGAAATGCAACTGTCACCAGCTGCAGGGATTGGGTGTTGCTTGTGACCTTTCTAGAGGGATTGAGAGGAGGGGTGGGTTAGAGTGAAGAAGTGACAGTGGGAAAGTCGAGGCTCTCTAGCTGTGGAAGACTACATTTAGTGTGCGTACATGACTTCGTTGCTGGCAGGAAACTTAACACTCGTTGTGTTTTTGCGATGATACTTTATTTTCATTCACTTCCAAAGTCACTATGAACAATGGTACGTGTTTGTTTTTCATTTTGTGATCTCTTTGACTGAAGTTATCACTCTTTAGTCTACTGTGAAATGCACAAATCACTTGCCTTAAGGCTGTTGTTTACTTGGCGGCCCGCGGGCCAAATCCGGCCCCGGGGTGATATTTACCGGCCCTTTGAGTATAATGTTAAAGTATTTTTTATTTTTTTAACGATGTTCTTTTGGACCAGAGTGCCTTTATTCCAGAGAGGGTGTTACATTGAGAGATAGAGGGGAAGACATTGCCTGAAAACTTTGACGGGCTCGGGTTTCGAACCCACCTACTAGCTGCTGTAGTGACAACTCCTGTCATTGATTGCATCTCTGCGTGAATGATTAGATTATTTCACCTAAATCAAATGAAATGATGTTGATGGTTAAATGAGCTTCACATGTAGGCCTACTGAGTTCTGAACTTGCCATTTAGATCTCTAAAGGCCGTGGGGCTATGTTGTTTGATTTAATTAAACACAATATATGCACTCCACTATGCTGTTGGAGTATTTACTGTATCTGAAGCTCTTGATATGATTGCTCATATTTAAAGCCATCTTTTTCCCGGCCCCTTGATTTGGATCATTTCCATCAACTGGCCCCATTCCAAACTAATTGAATAGCCCTGGTGTGCAGTTTGCTGCTTTGCTTGCTGAGTTTGCTGTAATGCCGGCTTCAGGCTACGTCCCAGGATGACCCATTTGGGCATAGTGTAACGATATGCCCTGAATATCTGAGCAGGTGCAATGTGACTGTATTTTCTCAGTGTTAGATACAACACAGGTTCAGGAACCACTCCTAAAACCTGGAAATGAGTTAGCAATTTAGCACTTACGGCCCCCTCGTCTTGAAGTCAGTGTCTCTTTGAACACGTTTCTTTTAGATGCTTGAAATAAGATCTGTGGTTATCATGAGCCTAAAAGAGTTATACATTTTGCTCCCATTTTTCATGAGATGAACTGAAAGATCTAAAACATTTTCTATATACACAAAATAACCATTTCTCTCAAATATTGTTCACAAATCTGAAAAGATCTGTGATAGTGAGCACTTCTCCTTTGCCGAGATAATCCATCCCACCTCACAGGTGTGGCATATCAAGATGCTGATTAGACAGCATGATTATTGCACAGGTGTGCCTTAGGCTGGCCACAATAAAAGGCCA